CAGAGTTACATTTTTAAATTGTACAAAAATTGCAAAATTTTAATTCAGCTTCGAAAGCATTTTATTCTCCTCTTCTTAATGTATTTATTTGTAAAATTTAATTTAAAGTTAATATATAAGGGAAGAAACATCATCACAACAAAATTTATATGTAATTTTATATGTTTTTGCTATAAGTTTATATATAAAAAAATTTAGGTGTGACAAATCAGGTGACTGATATAATATATAAAACATTTAGACTTTTCATTTTTATTGTAAAAACTCTGTATAAGAGCATAACTATATATATAAGTAGATAACAAAAACCCATCTCCATAATGACTCTACATATAGCAACCAATTATATTTAGGTTTTCTTTTATATTTTTTTATTATAAAAGTTATAAAATTTAGAAATATTTTTATTAGACAATAATAAGCAATATATAGTCAACTCTTTCTACAGTATAACAAACTGATGGTTCTAAAAGAAAATAAAAATACACTATAGAAAATTACTATAATTTCTTATAAACCATTGCACTTTCTATACCAAACTATTATAAAAATTTTAAAATTTTGAGTTTGTTATATCCAGAGTTTGTTATATAGAGGTTCGTTATATCCAGAGTCGACTGTATTATATAGTCACATGCTCAATTTTGATTGGCTATTCATATAGGGTCGCGCCCTTTTCTAAGAGCATATACATAAAAAACAAAAGCTAAAAATTTATTTATTGACAAAAAATTTATTTATTGACAAGAAACTTATTCCAAAAAATACAAGCATCGGCAACCACCAAAATAATAAAAAGAGAAAAATAACAAGGGAAAAATATCTATCAGGGTCAAACCCTTAGCAACAAACTTAAGTGTCTCGAGCTAGGCTCATACATAGTCCGAAATCTTAAGCGAAGTAAAAGCACAAAGAACTAGAAAATGGCGAAATAAAAGTGAAAAAAGTTATACTATAAGGCCATGCAAATTAATAAATTGGTTCTCATAACCCGGCCGGGTCAAAACTTGCAGGTCTTTGAAAACTATTTTTACTATCCGGGTTGGTTTTTTCTAAAATTTTATGTCGTAGAGTTTTATATAACTGACGCTAACGTCCAAATTTTTGTGTACTATACGTCACGTCGACTTAAAAAAAATCTGACTAATAATTGGATATTGTCTTATTTTATGAGTCTAATTTTGTAATTTAGGTATGGAACACGTGTTTCTTATTTGCATGATAATATGTCACCTGGTGTACTCATTATTTATGTATGACAGAAAGTCAGTCACTAGTACGTATGTTACGTATGTACGTTGAGAACTCGTATTATCAGTTATTTTTCAATTGACGTTGGTTATCCTCACTAGCTCCAATTTCTATATCCTAATGAACTAAAATACTATCAATATAATTATCTTAAATCAATTATTATCAAAAGAGTAATTTAATAATAATCCCAATATGTCACAAGATCCCCATAACATTATATTTACTTCCTATGGGAGAAATAAGAAACGAATGAAATCCTCATGGAGCTCAGAAGACGAAGACACTGTTCACCAAAAGGTGGAGGAAACAAGAGAAGAAAAATATGAACGGGGTAAGTAAATCGGGGAATTTCGGTGATAAAGGGTCCGTGTCGAAATTTGTAGATTAAGAATTAGGCATAGTTTATTATTGAGGAAAGAATTTATTTAGCAGTGTACATTTAAAAAAAAAAAAAAAAAAAAATCTTTATTGGACTATTACCCAATAACAAAAGTGACAAATCTAGAGACTATGAATGTTACTGAACAGTTATTATCATTATTATTATTTTATACCTCTTGCGCGAAAAAACCGTCCAAGTTGTTTCATCGACTGCACCTATATAATCAATTACTGATTATTATTATTAAAAAATTTTTGGAATACATTTATTGGATAAATGTAGTGCAACTTCTCCAAACACTCATTACTCTACAAAAGCGTCCAGATACACAGCGCGCATTTGAAATTCTCAAAGAGGATATATCAAGGAAGCCACATCTACTTCCATTACGAACTGATCACAAAGGAAACAAACATGTTCAGTCATTTGAACAATTGGTATGATTAACACGTTAATTGTCGACATCATGGTTATTTTATTGATTTAAAATGTGAACAATTTGATCTTTCAGATGAAACATGCCGACGACTATGAATCAGAATTTAGGCGTCTTTATTCAGAAACTGCCAAACCAGACAATCCAAATTCCAATAAAAAGTTTCGAGAGGCTGTAAATTTAACTCCAGGAACTATTTTCTGTGGACAGGTTAATCAAAAAACAGGTATTTGGTCATTTATTAATTTATTTTTTATTTATCTCTTTCATAATCATAAATGTGTTAATGTTTTACAAATTATTTATAGAAATTGCTGTCCACCAAATGGAGCTGGGGGGTCCACGACCTACAAAGGATCGTCCACTCCCAGTATATTATGATAGCTGGAAACAATTGACGACGCTCGATGGTCATAATCAACCAACATATTGTGTAATATTCGATAAGACAGGCAGAAGAGTTTTTACAGGAAGTGATGATTCATTGATCCGTGTATGGTGCACAAGTACTGGATCGTTACTCCGGGCATTATATGGGGTGCATATATACACATATATTTATTATTATTATTATATTTTTACCAACTTTTATTAATATTCGACATCAAATGTTTAGCATACAAAAGCAATAGTGGACATGTCGATTAACTGTAAAAATGACTTACTTGCTACGTCGTCCAATGACAAAACGGTTGTTGTGTGGAGTCTTGACACATACACTGCAATACATCGATTTGGGATGGTATGTAATATTTGAACGCTAGAAAAATGTTGTTGATTACAACTAATATTATTGTTCCTTAAATTTTTGTTTGTAGGACGAAATGGCAACGTCAATCCTTTTTTCCCCGACTCCGATTGCCGAGAATCGCTACCTGATCGCGACTTCGGACAACTGGCATACGTGGGTATGCAAATATGATGATACTGACAATAGTTTTGGACCTACTTCTAAAATAAAACCTGTGAATGCAGTTGGGTCAAACAATAGAATGAAATGCACATCATTCAACTATACGGGCTCTATGTTTGCAATTTCTGGTACTGATGGACTTGTTCGCGTATATTCAACAATCGGTGGTACTGCCTTGTATGATAATAATAATAAAAAGGGTAAAAAAGCAAAAAAACCTTTTGATCTTGTCGAAATAATAAAACAATCGTCTGATCCGGAAGACTCTGATGATTCCGATGATGATCTGATTGGCAAGTCCACTCGAGTTGTTAATGATAATAACAACAACAATAACGATAACAAAAGTAATAATTGCGACAATTCAAATAATGATGATCTTTTTGCTGACATGAATATGGATGTGGCACGTAGCCTCCTTCTTGCAGGCGTAAAGTCTTCCAACGGCCAAAGTACTACTCAATCTACTGAAAAAGTAGCTCCACTACAAAATAGACAACCAATTTCATCTTTATCAAAACATTACAATGCTATCCCGTCGACATCAAAACAGCCAATTGTTACCACTGTATCATCGCCGAGTAGTAACATTTCTTTAGAGTCAACATCACAGTCTCATTCAAGCTTAAATAATTTTCAATCGAGTACGACATCGCAGCCCTCCACCACGATAGTTTCACAGTCAACATCAAGTCCAATTGTTCAAACAAGACTTGTAACACCATCTTCGTCAAGATCCG